CACGACGTCGACGAGAGCTACTAAAGCCAGCCTCACACCCTGCATGGGGCCCTGCGAGGCATACCTGGGGGAGAGGCACCCAGATAAAGGCATACCTCAATATTACGTATTTGGGCATGTTTCTGTTGTCGAATCATTACCCCAGCTGTAGCAGACACTAATTGCGTAACCATCGGTCTCAAACTACAGTCGCCACGATGCTTGCTTTCGCTTGCGTGCCCAGTGCCATGCTACCAGCGCCCCAGTGCGATTTTGCAAGCAAAGAGGCGTTCGCAGTACATGTGGACCAATGGGCGCCAGCTACAAGGCTAGCACACATACCCTCCATAGGGTTACATGTGACGTACTCGCTCAAGTCGGGCGACTTGATTACGAAGGAGACGAAACTCCTCATCGAACCACAGCACAGACGAAGCAGCGACCCATGCATTGACGGAGGCGCAGAGGACTTACCACCGTTATGCAAAACGCGCAGGCAGACACACAGATAATGCCTATTACAAAGAGCCGCGCCCGCGACCGTCGACCCCAACAACGCGCAAACGCTACGCGCACAAGGCGAAGTATACAAGCCAGACGCGACTGCGGACGAAGACATCGAAAAGTGCTTACCCGAAAAGTGCTTACCGGCGCCTGCCAGAAGGGCTGGGCCACGAGTTTTACCGGCGCCTGCCAAGAAGGGCTGGGTCAAGGCAGAACGGGAGACGCATCTTTCAATTGTTCACTTACCAGACACCAACAGGGAGTACTTCGCTTCATCGACGACGAGGAGCCACTGCGATCCTCAAAATAGTGTCACTCATCTACGTGCCATGGACAGCTCAACGACGACATTGACCACGACAGGGCACGACTCAGATACGCTCACTACAACGAGGACGGCACAGAGGAGCCTCACAGAGACCCTGCGCAATACATACTACCAACACAGCGTAACGGAATACAACATCCAGATGGACGAAGACTACGCCATCCACGCCAATGCCAACTACGCGGACCGCGACTACGAGCAGAGCGCATTCTTCAGCACCATGACCGACGCCAGCCACAACGTCATTGCGGGGCCGGAGTTACCCTCGCTCAACAATTACCTAGCAGAATCATTGCACACTCCTGTAGCGCCGACCCTCCGCCTGCCATTGGCCATATGCGTCGACAAGCGCGGAGGACACATCGCACCGCCCGTCAGCTACCAACAAACAGCATATGTCGAGTTCGCACAGCACTCCCAATGCCAATGTGACCTATTCAACTAATGGTCGGGCCCGGCACGCGCCAAACCAGAGCGCTGGGCAGGGCCAACTTCGCCTGCGCACTGCGAGCTCTGGGCGCCCACAATAGACAGCCCAAGATGGCCAGGGGCGCCGCGCAGCCTCGCGCCCGCGCCCATCGCGACCCTGCACCCCGACAACAGCGCCACGCGCGTGCACGGCCCGACGCGCCTCCAACCGCAATTTTTCAGAATCTCACCATGCCCGCACGGGCCACAATTTACCCTCGAACGACCCTAGCTCACTGCCACAAGAGGAGGCTTCAAATTCCAGACCGACCTACCTCCAGAACGCATGCGCCACAGCTCCCCGCAGAAGCAGATAGCCGAGAGATACGATATCGAGAAGGGTTACGACGACCATCTGGAAAGGAGCGATACACATGCAATGGACATGCGAGAACGCTACCACCAGAACAAACCATCCCCAACTTTTCCTCCATCACCAAAAACACCGACGACACAGGCGAAAGACCAACGCTAGCCACGACATTTTACCACCACCAACAGCCAAGACACCGGCCCCGCCGACAACCGAGACAGCCAACGAACGCTCAACCCATGGAAAGATATACCCGGTTTCATTTACGACACCACGGCTTCGCAGACGAAATTACCGACGAGACCGGCCCATGGGCAAAGATGAAGGGGGCATCAAGCACGCGCGAGTTCTTTATCACGTCACTCGAACCCAACTGGTACCACGACGCGCACTGTTCTAGTGGATGGACAGCATGCTGCTACCGCGCGAACGCCGCGGACGCCGACGGCTACGAGGACGACCGTTGACATTGCGCAGTCTCTTACCGGGAGCAGTCCAACGCTAGTGCGTGCATATTCCCAAACGACTGCCGGCCCCTCCTTGGGTGGCACAGGTTCCGCCACAAGTGCAACAATGACATGTTTGTGCGCCAAGATGGACATCATATGTTTACCGCGCTTGCCGCTCCGACCCGATTCCAGAGCAACACCACTGCCTACATTCACCCCGCCACCCGTGACCACCACCAAAACGCCCAGGCTCAAAGACGCAATCGACGCCGACATGCGTCTACCTATGCCCAAGCCGCCCAACCGCCCACATTCGCGCGATTCGGCACCGACTGACAGGCATTCGCAACACATTACGGTGACAGCGCAGCCTTGCGGTTCCAGGCTGCCACGGCCAATCAGCACTTCCAGACAGACGCGATTTACGGGAGGTCAATCGCCCCTTAATGCCAACAAGCTAGCAGCTATACCAGAAGTTGCCCAATTACCCAACGCCTGCCACGACGACAACAATCCCGTGAAGTACGACTGGGCAGCCAATATACGAGACGCGACGACGCTGCTGCGGCTGATCTGCAACCCGACCACGACCAACCACACCACCACAGCTACGCAGACCGACAGCGACAGCTCCAGCGAAGCCAACGACCACGCAGTCGGCAACCAGCAAGCAAAACCACCACCCCCAACGCTACAGACACCGACTACACAAACCACGATCCCCAAAAAAACGCGCACCCACGCTACCACCACAGCGGCGTTCACACGACGAACCGACGCAAAACGCACACACACAAACACACACACACACGCACAGGCACCAGCGACACACTTACTTCAACCGCCGCAAACAGACAACCGACAGCCAAAAAAGCACCCCAACTGCCCAACCCGCTGCTCATTTCAAATGCAAGCGCGCCACCGCGCCAACGCAACAGCATGCCCTTAACGACAGCGCAACATCATGCAGCCGCGACGCCAACATCACCAGCGCCGACACACTCCACCTCACTCACGAGCACGGCAGCAGAACAGCACAAGTCACCGACCACATTTGCAAGCAACACTCCGCACAAAACCGCGCAGGCACATGAAGGCAATGCTCTTAACAAGCCGATGCCCACATACTTACTAAGCAAGACCACCCCACCTACCGCGCCGACCACGACCCCGGCGCGCGCCCTGCCAGGCCGCCACCCGCACACCTCACAACAGGCGCCAACGTTACGACCACACCGCGCCGACTGCCCTCGCAATAGGTGTTACACGCGACAAAGTCGCTAACGAATGGTGCCCCTTCAGACGCACCGTGCCAGCCCGCCCACTACCACCTTTGCTGCGAAGCGAATACTTATTATCTGCCAACCAGAAGAATGCACCAATCATGACGCAGCGGCGGAAAGGAGAGCTACCCATCATGATGATGCCGCCACACACATTCGCAACCCTCAACACCTACTTCCCTGCCCTGGCAGCGCGAGCAACCGCAGCGCACAGCGCTGCAGCAAGAGGAGGCGACCAGCGCACTCACCTCTCACCGACGCACCATCTTCATCAGCAACACAAGCGGCCCGCCATTCCAGAGCTACATCGAGAGGCTCCGCTCGCACCAGACTCGCTACAAACTTTACATCAACAGCCTGCGCGATCACCCACGCGGTGCCCCAGTCAGAGAACCTCCACCTAGACAGATAGCGCAGCTACGCGAGCTTCCGCCCAGACCCAAGCCGACGAGCCGTGCCGACACAGACCAACCCACGAGCTGATCCAACAGCAGACCCCCACGAGATACAGCGCCAGTGCTCCCACTGCTCCTATCACCGCAGACGGAGTACCATTGAGCCTGACCGAGGCCACCACGACATCTGGTTCGCAGCCCGAGGATTGCATGATTTCTTTCCGGTAGTTTTGGGGTAGACCCCAAAACCCCATCGCAGAGCACAGTGTGCACACGTGGGCCCCCGCAAGGTCTGACCCCGATATGTTACGTTTTTTTTTATCTTCACCCACTTCCATTGATTTCACCGCGGTTCAGAGCTCACTTGGGCCCCCTATGGGGATGGCCCCAGCAGGCGCAACCGCTTTTTGCTTACAGCTGCGGCCGGCAAGGTTCGCACATTCGCCTGGGCGGGATGACGGGGCGGGGGCGGGGGCGGCATAGGTCGGGGGTGGAATGCCGCGGTGCTACCTGTCGACCGCGCGTACATGTTGTTTTGGTTGCCGATACTTGTTGCTCTTCTGATCGGCCATATTGTCCTTCTTGATTATTGCTCAGGTTGCGGCTACATCCTCTGAGGACGACAGCTGGCCACATCATGACAGCCCCAACCGTTTGGCGTCCTAGCGCCACGTTTTTTGACGCACTCGTATTTTGAGCGCTTCAACAAAAGCGCCATTTTTTTAGGGGCTAAGGCTACACGCTCCAAAAGGCTCCTCAGAGGAGCTCCAAAAGGCAAACATCGCCCCATTCCCGGTGGAAAAAAATCATGTTCTCCATGCTCGCTTCTTCGGTCTTCACAGCGTCCAAGGCGGCCCAAGAGGCTCCGAAAACCGCCCCAAGACAGCCCAAGAGGCCCCCAACACGGCCCCCAAAACGGCCCGAGTGGGCTGCAAGACGGAACAAGAGAGCCCCAAGACAGCCCAAGAGAGGCCCCAAAGACGGCCAGAGAGGCCTTCACGACGCTTCCAGAGGGTCCCAAAGAACTTCCAAATAGTAGACATTGCTTCGCTCCGTGAGGAAAGCGTGCATTTTTAGCACGTCCGCTTCTTTGGTCTGAGGTGCGACCATGACGGCCCAGCGTGCTTCGGTCTGAGCAGCCGATGTATCGGCGATGCATCGGCGATGCGGCGAGATCCTCCGACCCACTTACTCCAACCACATCCGGGAGGCCTCTATGTTGAGAAGGCCGCCCCCTCGCGCTACTCCTTTGTGCGCGCCGCCCACCGTCGGCCCCGAGAGGGCCTGCTGCCTCAGATCGGGAGCATGCTGGCCGAGTACGAGAGGACACTGCCCCGCGCCGCACCGGGGTCCGCGACGGCCACGGGGCAGAACTGCGGAACGCCTCGGCTTAGGCTCGCCGTAAAGGGAAGGGGATCCTGAGGGGAACAGGTCCTGGGCCTCTCGGGCTTCCGCTTCCCCCGGGACCGGCTCCTCATCTCGAGTCGGTTTCTGACGGTCCCAGGGGCCGTGGATGGCCCGTGGTGGGCCGAAAACGACACAGACAATGCAGGATCCGTTTCTTCCAGGACCCGTTTGCCTCATGTTAGTTCGAGATTGTTATTTGTCTTCTGGCGCGTAACGGTCGTTACCCGGCTCCATCCCCTGGGTAACGGCACGGAGCGTACGTGGGTGGGGGCGGGGGCTGGACCCGTGGTGCTCGCGCGCATACGGTGACGATCGCAGCGCGCACCCGCCCCGACGTGCCCCGCCCCGCCCCAGCGCTATCGTCCCCGAGGTAACGACCGTTGCCAGAAACAATCAGACATTACATCCGATTGTTTCTGGGCTCCCGAGGGCCACGGGGGACCCACGTGCCCACCGCCAAACCCTCCTGGGTGAGGCCGATGTGCTGCTGTGTGTTCTCGCTGACGCATCGGGGCCCCATCGGGCGAAACGGAGAGGGAGGGCTCAAAGGATAATGAAGGGGGGGAAGATTGGAGGTGGCAGGAGGAGTGAGGAAAGAGGAAGGATCCTGGCTCCCAGCCCCTATCAGTGGAAAAGGCTTGTGACCGAAAACTCCGTGACGGAAAACATATCCGAAGTTGTGGCCGAAAACTTAGCGCGACCGAAGTCTTAACCGAACTAGGGAATCGTGAGGGTTTGGGACACGTTCCGAACATTTCTGGCGCCAGTTTCAGTCACGTTCGGGCAGGCACAGTTTCGGCCGCTACACCCCCCGGGTAGAGACGAGGCTACGTGAGAAAGAGTAGGAAGGAGGGATTTAGGAGGTGGGAGAGAGGAGGAGGAAGGAGGGAGGATGTATTATTCACAGGTACTCGCATCGACCAGTGCAAAGCGTCCAGTTCGATCAGAGGAGCGCTGAGCTTCAGACTGAACCAGCATTACAGAGACAAGAAATCTGCTTATACCCTTGATCGGAGGAGAGTATGGACGGCCGGTGTCGTTATACATTCACGGTGGACAGGAAGCAAGAAAGAGGGACAGAAAGAGTGCGAGAGGGAGTCGATCAAGAAGGAACGGCTCAGGCAATTGAGCATACACCTGTTATTGTTTACACCAGTTGTAACCAGCACGCACGGGGCAGAGTCAGAGTGAGGGGGCCGAACGGTCATTCACTGTCCCTGGGTGCGTGGCTGAAGTGAGATTCCGCGGTGCGGATTCGTTGTTGTTGTTGTTGTTGTTGTTTGTTGTTGTTGTTTGTTGTCGTCGTCCCACCCGCAACCCGCCCCGCGACCCACCCGCGACCCACCCCGCGACCCACCCGCGACCCACCCGCGACCCACCCGCGACCCACCCGCGACCCACCCCGCGACCCACCCCGCGACCCACCCCGCGACCCACCCTGCGACCCACCCTGCGACCCACCCGCGACCCACCCGCGACCCACCCCGCGACCCACCCCGCGGCCCACCCCGCGACCCACCCGCGACCCACCCGCGACCCACCCCGCGACCCGCCCGCGGCCCACCCCGCGACCCACCCGCGACCCGCCCGCGACCCACCCGCGACCCACCCGCGACCCACCCGCGACTCACCCCGCGACCCACCCGCGACCCACCTTCGACCCAAACCACGTTCAAGGTACAAACCAACATTTTCGGCGCCTGCGGCGGGCTGTTTTTGCATTCCTTCCAGGTGGAGAGCCCGCGACCCACCCCGCGATCAACTCGCGACCAACCCGCGACCCAAACCACGTTCAGGGTACAAACCACATTTTTTGGCGCCTGCGGCGGGCATCTTTTGAATCGTTCTAGGTGGAGAGACCGCGGCCCACCCGCGACCACGTTCAGGATACAAACCAATTTTTTCGGCGCCTGCGGCGAGCATTTTTTGCATTCGTTCCCGGTGGAGAACCCGCGGCCCACCCGCGACCCAAACCACGTTCAGTGTACAAACCAATTTTTTCGGCGCCTGCGGCGGGCTGCTTTTGCAGGAGGACGAGGAGGGGGAGGAGGAGGAGGAGGAGGAGGAGGAGGAGGAGGAGGAGCAGCAGGAGAGAGGAGGAGGAGGAGCAGCAGGAGGAGGAGGAGGAGGAGGAGGGAGGGGACGACGACGATGACGTCGACGACGACGACGACGAAAAGGAGGAGGGTGGAGGATCGGGAGGGGGGGAAGAGGAGGAGGACGACGAGGAGGAACATGACGACAATGGGAGGACGATGATGGAAGGACGAGGGGGGGAGAGGGAGGACGAGGAAGAAGCGGAGGAGGAGGAGGAGGACGAGGTGGAGGAGGAGGACGACGATGACGATGAGAACGAGGACGAGGACGAGGAAGAGGAGGAGGAGTAGGAGGCGGAGGAGGAGGAGGAGGAGGAAGAGGAGGAGGCGGAAGAGGAGGAGGAGGAGGAGGAGGAGGAGGAGGAGAAGAAGGAGGAGGAGGAGGAGAGCGCCATCGACAAGGAAGGTGGGGGCCACGAGGTCCGCCGGCTTGACGACGCCCGCGTCGCCCGCGCCCGCCCCCTCACTCTTATCCGCAATTGCGGGGTATATATATATATGTTTATATTGGGTGGCAAAAGTGTGTAAACAAGCTTGGTGAGGTGGAGATCATAGCGGGAGCACTCACGCTGTTGGTCCTGACGCTTGCTACACAGGGAAGGGGTTGGTGATGACAAAGTTATCATCTGTAGCCGCGAGCAAGCTCTGCGATGCTGTGGGCTGCGAAGCGTCCTGCGAAGGGAGTGGCGGAGCGGCGGCGTGCAAGATCTAGATGCCTGCAGCAAGCTTTCACCCTGCCAGCGAAGCAGCGCATCAGTAAGGATGTTGAGCTCAAGACCTATTCAGATTCGGTGCCCTGTCCGAAGGGGCGCAAGCCTTATATACACGCCTCCTCGCCCGCAGCTGCAGGATCCTCTTTCTTCCGCATTCCACTCCTCCCTCCCTTTCTCCCTCCTCCCCCATCGACGTCGTCTTGGAGGTTTCCCGGCAGCTTATTTGGGACCTCTTAGGGACCTTGTTGCGCCCTCATTGAGAGCCCACGGGGGGCCCGTTTGGGGCGGCGTTGGCTCGTCTCGGAGCCGTCTTGGGCGCGAACCGATCTCTCCCGAAGAGGTGACCGAACTATCTTGAGGACGCCTGGGCGGGTATCGGAGTCATCTTGGGCCATCGTGGAGCGCAGGGCAAAGACGAAGTCGAGGACGAGGACAAGGGCGTCGAGGAGCAGGAGGAGGATGGGGAAGGAGGAGGAGCAGGGACAGCATGAAGAGGAGGAAGATTGGAGCGGCAGAATCGCGCAAGCCTTTGAGCGGCAAAGTCGTGTACGCCTTCTTCAGGCCCGCATGGCATCCCTGAGGGAAGTCCGCGGCATCGCCTGGGCATCGCCTCGAGCCCAGCGGCAGACAGGCGAGAGAGGCTACAGGGAGCAGAAGGAGGGTGAGAGGAGGAGGGAGGGGGGGCAGAGCGAGGAGAAGCGAGGACGGAGGATGGGAGAAGAGGGTATTTTCCGGTTCGCCTCATCCCTCGCTCATTTGCCCCGTTCCCTTCCCTCCTCGGGTGCCCTGCGCCCGCGGGAAAAGCCCTCGGTGGTGCCACTCGTGAGGCGCGCGGCTGACGAAAAGCGGGTTGTGCTATGCGGAGGGCGCTTGCATGGCGCTGTTGTACGTCCCCCTTCTCTGCCCCCGCCCCCCAGGGCCGTCGCGCGGAATCTGAGACCCCGAGCGGCGGTTCGCCACAGGAGCGACCTCGAGGCGCCCGTCTTCATCAGCGAGCTCGCGGCCAGCTCTGTGGCTGGCCTGGGCGAGACCCTCCAGGACGCTCCAGTCACAGCACGAGCCTGGGGCCGCATGGCTGGTGGAGAGGCAGCGCCGGCTGCACGCAGGAGTGACCCTTCGCCAGAGTGACCTTTGGTGCGGGACCACAGGGGCCCCCCCCCAGCCCCAGCAGTGGCTGGCGCGCTTGGATTTGATCACCTCCGCGGTGGCCCCCTAAAACCGCGCACCAAGGGCTCCCCCACCTAGGGTCACTCTTGCGTGTAGCCGACGGAGGGAGGAGCCAGGAGTTCGTCACGCTGGGAAGGACCAAGGAGCGCGAGGACGGAGGATGGGGAGCACAGCAGACAGAGGCAGCGGGAGGAGTACGCAGAAGTTCGGCCGGGGGACGCCAGTTATCCACTGGCACCAAGCCCAGCCATGTACATCCTGGGCCCAGGGGATTGGTGCAGCGGGTGCTCCCAGAAGGTGTTCCCACCCCCCAGGATTCCTTGCATGGTAGACCTCGGAGCGCCTTGAAGGCGCGCCGGCATGAGCTGCAACCTACCCGAAGGCTTTTGAGTTGATGCCCTCCCTCGTCTGTCTTCATCCCCCGCCTGCGTTGGCAAGCGGACGGTGGGTGTTATGAGCCAGCATTCAGCCCATGACGGTCTGGCCAGGGTGGTGCCGGTGTATGGTGATCTCCAACGGGCAGAAAAATAGAAATACGAGGAGAAGGAACAGGAGGAATATGAGGAGAGGAGGTCGGATAAGCAGCGACAGTGGCGTCAGCAAAATATCAACGAGATCAAGTCGTAACCGTAACAAGCCATGGCAACAACCACATGACGAATTACAGTTACATGTGACGGTAGGGGCGTTGGTTAAGGAATGCGCCGAGGAGGCTTCAGACCCTGAGGGATTCCTTATCTGATGAGGGCGGCAGTGCCACCCATGGCCAAGCCAGCATTGGAGTTCCACCGGCTTCCAGACCCTGGGTTCCTGATCCAATAGATTTTTATCCAAAGCCCACACCGCGTCCGTAGCCATTTTGGCTCAAGCCATTTTGGCTCAAGGCAATGAACCGTCCCGACGACCGCGAGTCTTTCGGGGCGACTAAGCGCGAGGGAGGTTCTGCTTTGAGGCTACCTTCCTTTCCAACAAGTGTGAGCTGCCACTGCAGCACCCTGGACCTGCGGGTCACGGCTTCTTCTGTGTCGGCGGTTCCGCCCCCGTCGGCACCTGCCTGCTGCACGCCCGCGGCTGAGCAGCGCGCCCGCCCGTTCCGGCGATGGGGCCGAAGGCCGAGCCTGGCTTCGTCGTGTGCACGGGCTGCCGTTTCCGCTGGAACTTCCGCAGGAATGCGAAGTGCTGGCTGTGCGGGATCGGGCTGGAGCTGGCGCCCTCGAAGCCTTCGCCCCGCGTCGGGGTCTGGGCGGACGACGGCGGCGGCGGCTCCCAACCCGCACTGCGAGGAGGCGGCCGTGGAGGAGCCTCCCGTGGCGGCGGTGGTGGTGCAGCCTCCCGTGGCGGCGGCGGGGGCGCGGGTGGCCGTGGCGGAGGCGCCTTCCCGAAGGCCCCCTGGTCGGCCCCCCCCGAGAGCGAGCTCGAAGCGCTCCTCGCCTGCGGGGACCCCGCCATCGCGGCCAGGCTGCAGGAGGCAGTCCGTGACGCGCGGGGCTGCGTCGCGCCCGCGGTCGCCCCAGCTCCGAAGCCGCTCGAGCAGAGGCTGCAGTCGGCCACGGCGAAGCGGATCCACCTCCAGCGCCAGCTCGACGAGGCGGCGGACGCGCTCGTGGCGGCGGAGGACCACCTCGCTCTGTGCCGAGGCTGGCGCGACGAGGCGGCGGTCAACCTCGCAGAGGCCAAAGAGGAGGAGAACGCCCTCCTCCGCCAGCGAGCCCAAGCGGCTGGTGTCGTGGGCGCCCAGCCCGATGGAGCGAGGCAGCTCACCTTCAACTTCGACGCGGAGTCATTCGAGAACTTCGCGGAGCTGGAGGAGGAGGCGCAGGCCACCCTCAGGCGCCTCTGTGACGAGGGGCTCCAGATCATGCAGGGGGCGCAGGCTACGTTCGAGCGCAACTGCCAGGAGCACCAGCAGCGCATCAAGCGCCAGATCGAGGAGGAGGTGGCCAAGAAGCGCAAGCGCACCGAGGAGGGGCCTGCAGCAGCCGTGGCCGCTGGCACCCCCGTGCGGGGCGCGGCCGCCCCGCCGCAGCCAGCAGGACAGGCGGCCGCCCCTGCTGCTGCCGCCGCCCCAGCAGCAGGCGCTGCGCCTGGTGCAGGGCCCCCCCCAGCGGCCGCCGTGGAGAGCCGAGCGGCAGAAGAGGCGGCCCGACAGCGCGCTGCCGACCAAAAGGCTGCTGCGGCGGCCCCATCCACCTGCTGCTGGCGCTGCTGCTGGCAGCGGCCAGGCCCGCGGGTAGCACCCTGCTGCCAGGCGGCGGCCCCGTAAGCGCGGCGCCGCCCGTCCCAGACGGGGCTGAGGAGGCAGAGGCGGCGGCGCCCAGCCGCCCCGCGGCGAAGGCGGCGCCGAGCGGCGGCATGCACGCCTACCAGGCGGCCAACGTCGAGGCCGACGCTGGGGAAGGGCTTCCCTTCACTGGGCCGCTGCTGCGCCAGGACCGACGCTCCGACGATGCGCGCCATGGTGCCAAGTTCAAGGCGCTGAGTGGCAGGACAGAGCCAAGCGCTGCGGCGGACTTGGATGGGTCCGACCGAAGGGCTGGCAGTCCTCAGCCCAGCCAGGGGCCCATACGGAATAGTGGGTACCCAATTCAAGTTGGCGAGGCTAAGGGCGAGGGCGTGAGACCCCCTGAGGTTCGGAGCCCCAAGGCGGCGGGCAGCCGAATGCCTGGCGGCCGCGCGGGCGCCGCGGCAGCCGCGAAGCCTGCAGCCCAGCCCCAGCCTGGGCGACCGCAGGCCAAGCCCCTCCAGCTGGCCAAGCTGCAGCGCACGGAGGCTGTCAGGAAGCTTAGCCCCCTCACCAAGTGCTGGCGCTGCCTCGGGAGGATCGCCAGGCAGCTCAGTGCGGCTGCTGCCGTCAGCTCACCCCCTGAGGGGCACGGGGGCTACATGAAGCACCTGGTGCAGGTGGCCAATAGCTTGGGGCCCAAGTTCGAGCAGGCGGGCTGCTCCATGTTTGAAGGCACTAAGCTGGACTCGCTGACTGTGGTGATCCAAGAGCCCTCTGTGCAAGGGCAGGCCTTCCTGCAGATGATCGAGAGCGCGGCGGCGAGACTCTGCAAAGAAGAAGCCAAGGCGGCCAGGCTGCGCTGGATGGACTACGTGGACGTGGCCTCGACGAAAGGGGCGAAAGGAGCCCACGATGTCATACAGGACCGCGATCAGGTGCTGGACTCGGTGATCGCGCACCGCCCCGACTGGCTGACGCCCCCCGTTGTATCCCAGCAAGCCCAGAACCAGATCCGCATAGAGTGGAAGGCCCTCTGGAAAGGAGCCGATAGGGAGCACAGGACCAGACCAGCCGATTGGATCTGCTCCATGGTGCTGCCCCCGTTCACGGTGGGCGACAGCCCCGAGGCGGCGAAGTCGCTCCCGAAGCAGACCGCTCTGGGCTGGGATGCGTTCCACCCGCGGCTGGTCCTCTCCCAGGGCAGGCCCTTCGCCGATATGATGGCAGAGGTGCCCACGGCTTGGGTGTTGCAGCCGCAGCCCACGGCCCTCTTCACCACGGTGTTCCTCTTCCTGGGGAAGCCAGACGGAGGCCGCCGCCCGATCGGCCTCTTGGGCAAGTGGTTGCGCATCTGGTGCAGGGTGCGCCGCCGCTACGGTGCCAAGTGGGAGAAGGACCACCAGCCCACTTTGGTCTGGGGCAAGGATGCGAACAGCTGTGACATGGCGGTCTACCCACACAACCTGGGGCTCGCGCTCGCCCGCCAGCTTGGCTTTGGGGCAGCCTCAGTCTATCTCGACGGCAAGCTCTACGCGCGGACCGACCACGACCGTTTCAAGCGAACTGCCGAGTTGGTGAGCTGGATGGGCCACCGCTACGAGGAGCTCTGCTGCCAGGACCTCTTCGTCGGCGCCCAGTACCAGGTGCAGAGGCCGCGCTTTGACCATGGCGGGGCGCGCCGCTCGCGCGGCTGGGACGCGGGCGCACTCGTGGTGCCCGCGGGCACCCTCGTCTTCACGGACGGCTCCTGCGTCAACAACGACCTGATGATCAGGGGCGCGGTCTGGTCGGTGGCGGTTCTCACGACCGTTGGCGAGTGGGTGGTGCAGGCGAGGGGTGCGGCGCCGTCTGCCTTGAAGCTCATCCCCTCCCGTTCGCGGGCGGCCATCGAGCGGGGCGACCTCATGGAGGTGGTGCTCTTCGGCAACCGCCTCGTGGGCCAGCTCGCGAAGGCGGGCGCGGCGATGCGCGCCATCGCCGACGAGGAGGCCCGCCTGCTTCAGGGCTGCCAGGCCCGCACCCGCTTCGCGGCGCGCTTCGCCGCCGAGTTCGAGGTCCAGGACTCGGAGTCGGGTTTGCGGGACCTCACCCCTTACATTGCGGCGGAGCTCGACGGCGAGGCCGACCCCCTGTTCGCCGCCGCGGCGGAGCCCGCCCCTGGGACAGGTGGATTCAGCCCACCGAAGTCGCAGTCCCAGGGGCGCGGCCAGTTAGGGAAGAAGCACGACGTGGAGGTGCGCGCGGCTGGCATCGCGGAGTTGGACGCGCTGTTGGCTGCTCCTGACGGCGCGGCGCTGGCGCGCGGCAGCGGCATCTCAGAACCCATCGAGCTCCCCGAGGGCCGCGAGGCAGCCGCCGCTGTCGGGCACGCCGCTGGCGGAGGCCCTGGGCAGCCGCCGCGGCCTGCAGACAGCAGCCTGCCGCCCCCAGCTGCCCCCTTGGCGCGCCGCCCGCGGCAGGTTCGCCAGGCGACACGCGACGCGGAGCACGTCGCGCTGTATGGCGATGGCAAAGTGAAGGAGATTGACGTGGAGCTTTGCGGTGGCTACGCCGAGGCGCAGGCCTCGGCGGCTGATGGCGGCCCCCTCCTCGCCACGGCGGCGGCCCTGGCAGCGGTGGCGGCTGCTGGCGCCTCCAGCTCGCGCCC